ATTTTTACACGCTCTTATATGTCTTTTTTCAGAATATTAATAGACAATTGACAAACAAAATAATTGCATTATTAAATAATTTGGAGGTATCAAATTATTTGGGAAAGCGGTCAACCTATTTCTTTATTCTAGAATTCAAAGAGCCTTTAATGAGAAGATGACTATTTTGAACAAGAAAAACTGTGTAATACACTCTGTAGAGTTTCTAACAAACAACCAACTTTGTTTACAATGGACTGATAAATATAATTTTATTGGGGACTCTTACAACTCATAACAGTCCTTACATCAATTGTATCAAGCCTATCTGTACATGTTGCCATCATTCTTTTCTAGACCTTTGCTTTCTTTTGAGCCCTTGGTAAGTCTTATTTTCTAAGGAGCACTTAAAAATTCCTCCCCAGTTAAGGCGCCTGTATGTTAAAAACACTACAATCACCTGCTGCTGGTGGTGGTCGTGGGGGAAGTAACCTATTTTACTCTATAATTATTAGAAAATAAGGCAAGCGAACCTGGTGGACAATTCACCTTTATTGTCCAACTGACAGAACTGCAGGACTTTTAGTGATAAAATTTTGATCTTTGCTATCCTACCTAATGGGTATTTCTTTGGTGGGAGCTCAATCGCAATGTGGGTGTTGAATTGAAGAGTGTTCTTGAGTTAACCAGGGTGGAAAGCTGGCAGCTGTATCCGCCTTCACCGGGACTAGAATCCATTTCTTTCCGGGTACTAAGAGCTTGGGTGGAGGAGGAGCCTCATTGGTGGAATAATCAGGGAGCCCGGCGTTTGGGCAAGTAGAAGGTTCTGCCATCGGTCCGAAAGAAGAGCTGTGTGGGGGAGAGATGTATTGAGGAGGAGAAGTTGGTGTTGTAACAAGATTGACAATGTGGCCGTTTGCCTGCGTGTGGCTGCCAGGGGAGCGCACATAAGGAGGGGTCTGCTGATTCAAAATGGCATGTGGTCCAGATAAGCTGAGCAAAGTTAAGGATGGGAGAGAGAAACGACTTCCGATGGGGGCAACGGTGTTCCCAATGGCCGTGCTAGTCGAAGGCTCCTTGCTGTGAGACGCATGAACGTCTGTAGAAGTTGAAGCCAAAGTGTCTCTTCTGCTTTCAGCTTGGTTCTCTGCATCCCTCTGGTTATCCGCATCCTTCTGGTTCTTAGCATCCTTCCGGCTCTCTGCATCCATCCCGGAGCCAGAGGGCTGCTTGTTGCAATCTTGAACTAAGGAAGCCGGGGTTGGAGAAGCAGTTTTCGTGCCCACTCGTCTCTTCATTCTCATCAACAGTTGGGGGCAGCCTCGTTTAAAATAAGGATTGCGGTAGAACTGTAGCTTGTTTAACGCTGCGGCCTCTTTTTCTTCCGCCAGGAAGTCAGCCAGGGAAGCGGACCGTTGAAAGTCCTTGCCCATTTTGCTGAACCCATAGAGATTCAGCTGCCGGACGAAACTTCTCATGCTCTGCGTCTCAAATATGTTCAAGGGGGGCTTCCTTTCCAACACTTCTTTCTTGAAGAGGTCCTCGTTAATCACGATCGAACTTCCACTGGCATCCCACCAAATGGATTTAAATCGGTCGCTTTCAACGATTCGCCAGAGTTTCCTGGGAAACGTCAGAGAAAGCAAATCATTACCTTCGTGTGCGTCCGAGACGCCACCCGTGTAACGCGGCCTTCTCACCGAGAGCCCTTCCGACAAAGCCTGAAACGCGTACTCCTCCACCAGCGCCCTCAAGAAGGAGTCCCGAATGGCGGCACGGTCACACAGCAGGGACCTAAGAGAGGCGTCTGCGTCTGCTGGCTCATCCGGAAGAGGCTCATCGTCCATGTCAGAAGAAACCTGGGCCATCTCAAATACACCCTTCTTCAGGTGCCTGCCTCATGGGCCTGGCTTTCAAATGCTGCTTAGCCAGCACAGGGATTACTTCTGGGCCATCCATTGTTCCACCAGCTGGCTAGCTGTGACATCATAGATGACTGGTTACCTAGCAGCTAATGGGTCACCATTGAGGCCAAAGGGCTTCCCTCCCAATATATGAATTGTATGTAGTCCCTTTGGGTATAAACACACGCCTCACATAATGTGATTCTGCAAATTCTCCCTCCCTCGGGATTTTTTACCTCAGTTGAGCCTCGCTGTTTCTGCCTCCATGTCTCTCTGGGGCACAGCAATAGAGGGGAAGCGTGTCCAAATTTACAAGAGTGTGTTCGTTTTTAAATCTCTCTCCCTTCTGAGATTTGTGACATCTTGAACCAGGTTTGTTAAAAATTCCATCAGGGACAATTCAGTCAATATTCTGTGTTGGCTTCAGCCGCCTTTCCCCTTATCTTTTATAACATTGTGAAAGTTTTGATTTTACAGGTCACATTGAATGCCAATAAACTTTATTTTAACTGTCTTTCCTTTGCCATCCATCAACAACTATCTAGTTCCTCCAAATCTTGCAAAAGTCCATTTCCAAGAGAGCCCTTTTTAAAGGAACTCAGACCGAAGTGTCAAGTTTCTGCCCAGTAGCCATTACTGTATTCTCATATCTGCCAGCATCCTGTTACTAGTGCCTCTTTAGCTTCCAGTTACAGACTAGCAACAAACATTTCTTGCCTCACTTGAAGTTATTCATTTCAGGGCCATTTTGGATCTGTGTAAAACCTGCCTTCCTCTGAATCTCAGACATCCTCACCAATGAGCTGAAATCCCTGGCAGTCCCCAAGAAAGGTGCAGCTGGCTGTGCAGATGACGCCAATTCCTGAAAGTCCAGGCATTGGCTCTCCGTCATGACTTCAGGAGCCAGGTCCAGGCAGAGAGGGTGAGTAAGGTGATCTCACGAGTTTGTATCAAAGGACTGCTTTTTAAATGGAGCATTTATTTATAGACTTTCGCATTGGAGAATACATTTTGGGTGGGTTTGGGCAAATGTATTGGGGATATTTTGAGATTCTAATCTTAAAATCCGCTGATTACTCTGGTAGCTGTTGAAGAGAGATAGTCAGGTGACGAGGCAGCTTGCATGACAAGGTGATTAAGGGCGGAACCAGAGCAGCACCAGCCCAAAACGGAGGCGAATCCGGATGCCATCAGCTGCAAGGAGGGGCATCTTACTTCTGGAGACTCCATGTGTATCAGAACCTCACTCTGCTCCATGTTAGTGTCAAAGGCTGATGTTGTTGTAAGTAGATCATCAGGACTTTCTTTCACAGCACCTCTGGGTGGACTTGAACTTCTAACAGATTAGTCAATAACCCAGCATATGAACACCCAGAGTCTCTAGCATGAAGGGTAGTATATAGCTCAGAGGAGGTTCTGGCAGTGCTTGGGAACTGATTGATGTGTTGGAGACTCAGTTAAAGATGTCAACAGCTTGACGCTGAGGTCACTGGGCAAATATTGTGATGATAGTCAAGACAGAGTGATGGGGTAGGGGCATTTAAAAAAAGAAGAAAAAACAAAACACAGCTAAATTAGACTCCACAAAGTTCTCTCATATTCATTATTGTGTCACATACTCAAAACTATTTGAAGATATATACAGTATATATTTTTCCTTATTCCCCAGGAAGAGACAGGAAATCAGCATGCGAACTCATTGGTTAACTTAAAGTGATTATCAAATAAAAGAGCCTCGAGTCACATTGTGAGTCAAACACTGGGTTGCTAACGTCAAGTTTAGTTGTTTGAAACCACTAAGCCAATTTGTAGGTGAAAGAGGAGGCTTTTTACTCCTGAGAAAATTTACAGTATCGGAAGGCACAGGGCAGTTCCACTCTGTCCTGTGTGGCTAGTGTTAGTAGAAATGGAATTGATGGCAGTGAGCAAGTGAGTGTGAGAGTGAGTAAGAAATATACCTACAAAATAATGGAAACTTCATTTAAAAAATATCAACATGTGAAGCTATTGTTTCTTTAGGTATCCTCCATGGAAGTCTATAGCCTTCTGCGGTGTTTCCATGTCCTTAAGCCTTCTTGAAGGAAATCCGAGCTCTTTGATTTCTACCATAACAAAGCACCCATTTCAGCAACCTTCAGGGACTCAGATAATGCTTCCTTTAAATAGTCTTTGAATTTGGCTAACATGAGGTATGTCTGAAAGTGCATGATCAGAGCCGTGGTAAAGTTTCCCAATGATATTAGAGGACAGTCCTTATTACCCTACAAGATCAAGTAGGTGTGCTGTCATGATGGACAAGCATTTCTGATTATTTCTCACCAATACAGTTTTAAATTTTCTTAAAACCGATTCATAATAAGCCTCATGCTCGTCTGGTGTCCTCTGAGAGATTCCACCAAGACTGTGCAGTTGGAATTCCATAAAACATTCCCGGTTTTCTTCGCAGCTGAGCTCGCTGCCTTGAATATAAGTGGCTAGCATTTCCCCTGGATGCCACTCGTGAGTTGGACTTTTTTCTTTGCAGAAACCCTCTATTACGAAGAGAACTTCTCTGTAGCCATCTATTGTTCAAGGGGAAATGCTTAAAAATGTTCTGTTCAGAATAAACCCAGTCATATATGAACTAGGACCCTAGAAATAATACTTTTTGACTTTGTGCACGATAGTGTGAAATTGTAGCACCCAATAATGGCTTAGAAAAGTGAGAATTGTCTTATACTCAGTTCTTACTGAACCTCTCAGTGCACCAGGCATCATCTAATTGAATTTCTTTTGAAGAAGTTATGTTAGCCCAGCGTACTGTTACTCAAAAATTCTAATTGAGGTTTTTCTTAAGCTCATCTGCATAAATTGATAGGAGCAGAGGCTAAAAAGCATAACATGAAGTTAGCATGACTTCTTATGGCCATGCCGCCATTGCTGGAAGTTAGTTACGGTACACAAAGCTTTTAAACGTTGCTTTGAGAAGCCAGAGAATAATTGATTGCATTTCATAAGTCTTTATGTCATACAAATGTTATGTCGACTGATTGACATCAAATGCGTACTGAGGGAAACATATTAAGAAACAAAAACTATTTTATTTAAACTAGCTATAAATATAGAAATGATGGACCCAGAGAACTATTAAATGATGCAAAGAGTGGCTCCCAATGAAGAATTTGGATAACATTGTTTCAGGACACGAGAAACGGACAGTTTATGAGCACACCATGTAACTGTTGAAGCAATTTGAAGTGTATATGGCCACCTGCAGTGGAACTTCAATAGTACCTGTGCCCCATAGCTGTCCGCTCATTGCTTGGAGTTTCTACCCTGTGATGCTGTTGCTCGGTGCCGTCAAGATGCTCCAACTCACAGCGAGCCAAGGGCAGCTGCGGGAAACCTGGCCGCGTCCTGCCATTCTGTTTCCTTGTCACGTTGGCGCTCACCGTGGCAGCCACTGTGGCAGTGCACCTCGTGCAGAGTCTCCGTTATTTTCCAATGACCTTCGATTGCACCGAGCATGATGTCCTTTCCCAGGGACTGGTATTTCCTCATAGCATGTCCAAAGCATCTGAGGCTCATCATCCTGATTTCTAAGGAGTATTCTGCCTGTCCTCCCTCCAAGACAGATGTGTTTGTTCTTCTGGCAGTACATGCTATTTTCAGCATCATGTTCCTATACCGTAATTCAATTGTATCAAGTCTTCCTCATCCACTGTCCAGTTTTTACACATACACGAAGCGATTGAAAGTAGCATGGCTTGGGTCAGGTGTCGTCCTCAATGTGGCATCTCTGCTCTTTAATGCTCTAAAGCGGTCTCAGGCAGGAGAGTGGTCCAATGCAATGCAGTCTGTACATTGAAACTGGCAAAAATATATTATTTTTCTTATTACAAAGATAGGAGGCTCCTCTTTGGTGCTGAACTTGCCTTATATTAAGGCTTATTGCCAGTACAGTCCCATCTCCTTCATGGACACCGCTGCTTCCACTGTTCAGCCAGTTGCCTGACCAAATCCAGCGGCGGCTGAAAGTGCGAAGTCAAAAAGGTCTATACACAAGAGAGGCAGCAAAATGCCCTATGTTTTTAAGCAATGACATTTACTATACTGACTCCCTACATTTTGTCATGAATATTTCAAAGTTATTTCTCAAATTGGGAAGGTGTGAATATTCCAGAAATGCAGAATGTATACATGCTGCTGGATAGAAAGGGTTTGCAGAGGATATGGGGGTGTCTACAGAGCCTGAGGTTTGCAGACAACTAGGTAGTCAGTAACTTATCTCTATTGGTAAACAGTGCTGCCCCGCAGACCTCTTGTAGTCCTGTACCTCTTGACAGTGAGCACTGACTTCTCTGTGCTCTCAGACTTACTTTGCAAGTCTGACACCAGACTGGGCTTCTTTTCAAAGATGTTTGTACGACTAAGAAACTTGGAAAACAGACATAGTGTCTCAATCCAGGGCAAGAAACAGGCATGCCTTTCAGTTTAATAAAGACAAATCTCCTGCCAGAGGAAAGAGAATGCAGGATTTCTGGCCATTTACAAGAAGTCTGAGTCCCTAATATCAGCTTCTTCTACGATAATGTAACACACTGTGTGTGCATCTGTCAGACCCCCCCCCTTCATGTGCACTGTGGAAACTGGGTCTTATGGGGCTGATGCTCAAATGATAGTGCACTGGCTACTTCTGTTGTTATGTGTAATAAGCGGTCTTCATCTCTGACCCAAGAGTTTTGTGCCTTCCACCAGTGTCTATAAAACTGTGGCGACTAACTTGTTACTTTGCAAGTCTGATACAAACTAGGATCCTTCATAGTTCTTGAAAAGAACTCTCCTTTTCATCTTGGGTTAGATAACCTTGAATTCCCTTTCCAGCTACCTAACTATATATAATATATTAAAAATATATACTACCTTGGAAAAAATAGAACTTATAACAATTTTTTACTGTTTACAAACTTTTGAAGTTGGTTTGC